AGAATCATAAAAGTCCAGACCGACGCTTTAGCCACTGGGCCAGCTGGCTACAATCACGGGTTCTAACCCCACCTGTGGTTTGCAATCATGTCATTTCAATTTCGTGAGTCTTGAGGATAGAGTAGTTGAGTGAGGTACTGTAATACGTGGTTTAAAGAACCGGTAGTGTAATAGGTGGTTCAGAGAACCGGTAGTGTAATAGGTGGTTCAGAGAACCGGTAGTGTAATAGGTGATTCAGAGAACCGGTAGTGTAATAGGTGGTTCAGAGAACCGGTAGTGTAATAGGTGGTTCAGAGAACCGGTAGTGTAATAGGTGGTTCAGAGAACCGGTAGTGTAATAGGTGGTTCAGAGAACGGTAGTGTAATAGGTGGTTCAGAGAACGGTTTAGTGTAATAGGTGGTTCAGAGAACCGGTTTAAAAGTGTAATAAGTGGTTCAGAGAACCGGTATTTGTAATAGGTGGTTCAGAGAACGGTAGTGTAATAGGTGGTTCAGAGAACCGGTAGTGTAATAGGTGGTTCAGAAAACCCGGGTTTAGTGTAATAGGTGGTTCAGAGAACCGGTAGTGTAATAGGTGGTTCAGAGAACCGGTAGTGTAATAGGTGGTTCAGAGAACCGGTAGTATAATAGGTGGTTCAGAGAACCGGTAGTATAATAGGTGGTTCAGAGAACCGGTAGTGTAATAGGTGGTTCAGAGAACCGGTAGTGTAATAGGTGGTTCAGAGAACCCAGAAGTTAGTAAGTTGGATATATTTATCGAGAAATTCTGCCACACTGTGACTTTATCAGTCCTGTTACCTGGAGTTTACCTGGAGAGAGTTCTGGGGGTCAACGCCCCCGCTGCCCGGTCTGAGACCAGGCCTCATGGTGGATCAGGGCCTGTTCAACCAGGCTGTTACTGCTGGTTGCAAACAATCCAACATACGAACCACAGACCGGCTGGGCAAAGAAGAATGGTGAACACCAGACAGAGTTTGAGGCAATCAGTCCTTCCGCCTCGAATCGATATAATCAATCTTGAAAACAATACCTAGGTCCGTGGTTCGATCACCAGTACGGCTGAAAACATTGCGACGTGTTTCGGTAAGACACCTGCTATCCATGTTCACCTAGCAGTAAAATAGGTACCTGGGTGTTAGTGGACTGGTGTGGGTGGCATCCTGGGTGTTAGTGGACTGGTGTGGGTCACATCCTGGGTGTTAGTGGACTGGTGTGGGTCACATCCTGGGTGTTAGTGGACTGGTGTGGGTGGCATCCTGGGTGTTAGTGGACTGGTGTGGGTGGCATCCTGGGTGTTAGTGGACTGGTGTGGGTGGCATCTGGGTGTTAGTTGACTGGTGTGGGTGGCATCCTGGGTTTTTAGTGGACTGGTGTGGGTGGCATCCTGGGTGTTAGTGGACTGGTGTGGGTGGCATCCTGGGTGTTAGTGGACTGGTGTGGGTGGCATCCTGGGTGTTAGTGGACTGGTGTGGGTGGCATCTGGGTGTTAGTGGACTGGTGTTGGGGTCACATCCTGGGTGTTAGTGGACTGGTGTGGGTGGCATCCTGGGGTGTTTGTGGACTGGTGTGGGTCACATCCTGGGTGTTAGTGGACTGGTGTGGGTGGCATCCTGGGTGTTAGTGGACTGGTGTGGGTCACATCCTGGGTGTTAGTGGACTGGTGTGGGTGGCATCCTGGGTGTTAGTGGACTGGTGTGGGTCACATCCTGGGTGTTAGTGGACTGGTGTGGGTGACATCCTGGGTGTTAGTGGACTGGTGTGGGTCACATCCTGGGTGTTAGTGGATGGTGTGGGTCACATTCCTGGGTGTTAGTGGACTAGTGTGGGTCACATCCTGGGTGTTAGTGGACTGGTGTGGGTCACATCCTGGGTGTTAGTGGACTAGTATGGGTCACATCCTGGGTGTTAGTGGACTGGTGTGGGTCACATCCTGGGTGTTAGTGGACTGGTGTGGGTCACATCCTGGGTGTTAGTGGACTGGTGTGGGTGGCATCCTGGGTGTTAGTGGACTGGTGTGGGTCACATCCTGGGTGTTAGTGGAATGGTGTGGGTGGCATCTTGGGTGTTAGTGGACTGGTGTGGGTCACATCCTGGGTGTTAGTGGACTGGTGTGGGTCACATCCTGGTACCAGCTTGGTAGCTGTGTACTCTCTCCAGTGATGGTACCAGCTTGGTAGCTGTGTACTCTCTCCAGTGATGGTACCAGCTTGGTAGCTGTGTACTCTCTCCAGTGATGGTACCAGCTTGGTAGCTGTGTACTCTCTCCAGTGATGGTACCAGCTTGGTAGCTGTGTACTCTCCCGTGATGGTACCGCTTGGTTGCTTGTGTTCTCT